CGACTTAGCTGTGTCACTGTAGCTCGGTGATGCGACCCCTTCTGGTGCTTCCCCCCAGTGTGGGGTGGGATCCAAAAAACATGATGCGACTTAGCTGTGTCGCTGTAGAGAGTAGGGTTTGGGGTCTTAGGGCTTCGGAAAAGCATTCTTTCTGTATACAAATATAGCTCAGGGCAGCTCAAGTCAGGATGATACGCGCCGCGGCTTGGATTGTGAACCGGGAAAAAAGTTTCATGAGCCATGCCTTTTCGTCGGATGCAACCCAATAAAGCAAGTACTGTAGGGGTCTGAATAATTAGAATAGGGTTTTCGGGTCCATTATAATTAGTATAAACATAATAAGGAGCCCCCAAAATAGTATTGGTAATTATTAGGGCCCCTATATTGGCTTGCTTTTTAGATTTTCGGCCTGTGGGGCTCAGAAGCAAGTAAATGGACTTAAGGCTGGCAGGGGAACCTGGATTTGGAGCTGAGGTGCCCAAGCAAGTGTTACACTAAAAGCATGCCGAAGCGTGATGCTCAAGCACCAACAGATCCCAAAATGAAAACCTACACCTTCCCCGACCTCAAACTCACCCCTAAATAAACCTTCCGAGTGCCCCTTTAAGCCCTTAACCACAAACCCTAAACCCTCAGCCCTAAGCCCCAAGCCGCAAACCCGATTAAACCCTTCCTGTGAATCCCAAAACCTACCGTTTTAAGGGTTCTACCTCTCTTTAAGGGGTCCTAACCTACTATTTTGTAGGGTTTGGGGTTACAAGTTAACCCTATTAAACCATTACCCTAAGGCTCCAAGGACTCATGATTTAAGGCTTTTGGGCCCAAAGACCATACTATATAAGGGCTTAGGCTCTACCCTAAACCCTAAACCCTAAGCCCCAAGCCACAAAGCCTAGTAGACCCTTAACCCTGAACCCGTTCCGGATGGGATGCCGGGGCACCTCCCAGTCCGGCGGCTACTCCGACGCCAAGCGAGGCGCCAACCTGAGCTCACATTCTTCAAAATCTATGAATAACAGGTTTAGGGTTTAGGGTTTAGGATAAGTGATAACGTACATAATTCAACTCGAAGGGGTTTAGGGGTTTGGGGGTTTTGGGGTTTCCCCAAACCCCAAAACCCCTGTCGGTTGAAATTAAGTCGCTTCTCTCTTCTTTGCCTCATCAAGCTCCACTAGAAGCATGGTTGAGCTATACACTTGCACCAGATTGAATACATATATATATATACACCTGTACATATAAGTATAAACAATATACACATACCATAGTATTCCTGAAACTCCAAACCCTAAACCCTAAAACCCCAAACCCCATAAATTATTAACCTGAGCTCAAACCAGAAGCAACTCGGAAAACCCGAGGGCCTTAATCAGGGTTTGAAGGATTTGTTGGTGCTCCATTCGCGCGGCTCATGTAATAATAGGCATGTAAAGATTTGGGTTGATGGGCGGTTCCCGGCGGTGTAGGGATAACGTATAGTATAGGGTATATAAAAGTTCAGAGTTGCTTTGTGGCTGAGGGATGGGAGCCTTCAGACGTGGAAGACTTTGCACAGGTATAGACTGGAATCGGATAGGGGATGCAGATTTACAAGCTGTGGGCCCAACAAAGAATAGCGAGGCTTCTCCTCGTCCCTGCAAGGCACCCTTTTGGGCAAGAAGCTCGTGGTTCGTCTGGAGTTTTGGTTACGGAGCATTTTGAACTTGGTGTTTTGGGGGATCCGGTTGAATGTGGGTCGAAGGTGATACGACCCTGCTTACATATGCTTACTGTAGGCCGATGGCATATCGATCTCATGTCACCCAAATACAGGGTGCGAGGGCTCTGCTAGGAGGCAGGGAAATATGATGGTGGGCAGTATCATGCACTTATTCTCGAACAGCCGAGCGACCCCATAGCTGTACAGTGCAGCACCACCAGCATGAACGGCGACGTTCCCGAACGCCGCTTGCAAAGACAAGGGGGGGAGATCGAACATCTTGCAGGCAAAATGCTCGCAGTTGCTGAAAACCATATCATACTTCCACTGTCGTTGCCGGTATGCATTCAGTGCCTTGTTTACAACCGCTGTACCCTCCTTCGATGTCTGCTTCTCTTGGAAGACTGCCCAGTTCGAGACGCCCACCAGATCCACACGTTCTATCTGAATACCACCCGGGTTGGCACCGATGGCACAGGCCTTGTAAGGGCCCACATCACCAGTGTAAATAGCGAAATGCGCAAAACATGGGTTGAACTTGTTGTCATTCTGTCTCAGGTCCCTGTAGATGATGCTGCCTGGCCGGCAAAATCTCCGGCTCTGCGAGCAGGGGAACTGTGATCTGCAGAAGGTCCGCCGACTTGTATCAAGCACCAGGGAAGCACGCACAGATGACATGTCCTGTGTAGCGGAAGATGCAGGGACCAAGAAGCAACAAAGGAATCAGAGGCCTAATAATCCTCATACAACCGTCTCAGAATCGTGATCCTGAGAAAACGCAGGTTAGCGTTTTGGCTGAGGATTCATAAATGTTAAGCCCGTTATCAAGCTTTGCTGGACCCAAAGCACATGGATATGGCTTGAGCCGCAGTTGCGGGTTCGAGCCCTGACGCCGAACCCCCCAATGACGTCAGTCACATGGAATACGGAGGCCGGTTTAGGGTTTAGGGTTTAGGGGCCTAAAGAAGCTTGCAATAGTGGTCCCTTATGAGTATAGTAATCCTCATAGAATTCAAAACCCAATGCCTTATACCCCTTATACTTGCGCAAGGAACCCTCGATCGTTACAGACTCTTACTGTAGGGATACCCGAAGTGTACACATGGCACCAACATCCCGACGAAGCCATGTGTGCAGTCGCCAAAACCGCAACAGTAAGTAACATAAACTCCTCTTCGGACCCCTCTTCACGCATAAAGGCACTTTGTACCGAACCCTCATCAAAAGGTTGGTGACCTTTGTGGTTGATGTGTGGCCAAGAAGACCAAAGGCCACGGGGCCTGCTTGACATCCGAAAACCCTTCCCTTTGCAGGACGTAAACTGACGAAAGCTTTAAAGTTCGAGCCCGAAATTCCAGGAGGCTCTTGAATTTTGAACGCCGACGGCCGTAAAGACTTAACACCCTAACCCTAAGCAAAGAGACTCACGAAAGCCGAATGTTTGAAACCCGATAACCCTTAAGCCCCAGATCACCAAACCCCTCCTCCCCTAAGGCCCTAGACCCCCCAAAAGCCTCGCCCTCTGAGTCGACCTGCGATGCCACAAGCGCCAACAAACAAGATAAGTTCACAATCTCCCTAGACCCTCCATGTACCTACTATATAGGGCCCTAAGGGGCTCTAGTACCCTATATGGTAGGTACCTGACCCTCCATCGACCCTCTATTCGACCCTAAGTACCCCTTACTTGGGACCATAATACCCCACATTTTTTGATGGGAGCTTTCTTGCAATAACACACATCCCTAAGAGCCCTGAGTCGAAGCCCCCTAAACCCTAAACCCCCTTAAAGCCCTCAAGCCCTAAACCCTGAACCCCTAAACCCGCAAAACCCCAAAGCCCTAAACCCCAGAGCTCTAATTCAACCCTAAACCCCCAAACCGTAAATTCCTAAAAGCCCCAAAAGTAGACAGCCTACAAGTCGATACCCCTACACCCTAAACTCCCCAAAAAACCCTAAACCCCTAAACCCCTGAACTCCAAAGCCCTAAACCCCAAAGCTCTAATTAAACCCTAAAGCCCTAAACCCTTAAAGCCCTAAACCCTAAACCCCTTAAACCCTGAAACCCTAAAGCCCTAAAAACCCAAAAAGCCCTAAACCCAATGCCTCGGTACGCCACCAGGGCAAGGCTCTGCGCATCCGCGCCGCCGCCGCGGCGTCGAAGTTCCTCCGAAAGGTCCTCGGCCTGAGAAAGGTAGGCTTTGTTATGTATCAGATGTGTATAAACATATAAACATATATATATATGTATATATGTATATACATGTATATATATATATGTATATATATAGATAATTTAATTTAACTGTATGCGTTTATATACACGCGCATGAACTACATACATGCAAACAACTAAACTGGTTATAAGATTTAAACAAGTAAGCATATGTATGTATGTGTATATACATAATCATATATGAAAATGCATAAATACACATATATCTATAAATGTGTATGTGCGTGGATGTATGTAAGTAAGTATGTATGTATGCATGCATGCATGCATGTATGTATGGACGGACGGACGGATGGATGGATGGATGGATGTATGTATGTGTATATATATATACACATTACATATGTCTTAGGGTTGCTGACTGAGGTATCTGCTTGTGGGTTAACATTTTGTTGGTTTGTACTAGATCTTAAACTCAAAGCCCTAAACCCTAAACGGTGCCTTATTGGGGGCTTTTTAGGATTAAGGTTCCATGGGGCTTATGAGCCCCGTAGAGGTTTGAGTTTTAGGCTCAAACACGAACACACGGAGAGACAGAAGAGACAACTCACCAAGTCCGAAACCGCAACCTCATACTCTGAGTCCTAAACATCAAATCCAACATCCTAAATGCTCCAAACAATTTGTCCTCGAGCCTTGGGAACAGCTGAGGGTGCAGAGGCTCCAGGCCATAACCTCAGTGGTGTCTTGTGGGTCCAGCTGTCGGAGGGATTACGGGTTCAAAGATTGGGTGGAAGATGGTGTCAAGAATTATCATGTGGGTGTTACGCCTTACAGGGTCGCAGGTTGGATGCTTAAGGCTGAAATGCTCCATTTTAAAGTTTAAGGCTAACTTCTCTTGGCCTTAGGTTTTCCGATCTTGGAATCAATGCTGAATGCAAGCGATCACTGCCCTCTACTGGCCATGTGTGTCATACTCCTGGTCTCACTAGCAAAGCCTACGCACAGCAAGAACTATTGGGCCGAGGCTGCACCCTGCCAAATGGAAGTTTAGGGTTTCGGGTTTAGGGAATCTTGGGGGGGGGTATGACCGAAGGCAGCAGTTGAGGGTTAAGGTGAGGCACTGGTAAGGCTTTTTGATTGCGCCGCCATTTCGGGTGTAGGGGTTTGTGCTTCAGTGCCTCATTATGAACAGCATTCCCAAACAAGGAGGCTGGTCTAATTTCAAGCTGCTCTGGTCGTTATGAGTGGCTCTCGGCCCTCTTGACACTCACCTATCCCAAAACCCAAAACCCAAAACCCTACACCCAAAACCCAGAACCCACAAACCCAAAACCCTAAGCCCAAAGGCATGCCCAGGAGAACAGTTTCAGGCCGTCAGTAGACCCTCAAGGGTCTAAGGGTTGAGGGTTCTGCTGAGAAACCTCCCGGCTCGGAATCTTCCTGAAAGCTCGGGCCTCGAAAGACTCCATAAGGTTTAGGGCTTGAGATTTAGGGTTTAGGGACTCCATAAGGTTTAGGGCTTGAGGTTTAGGGTTTAGGGACTCCATAAGGTTGAGGGCTTGAGGTCTAGGGTTTAGGGACTCCATAAGGTTGAGGGCTTGAGGTTTAGGGTTTAGGGACTCCATAAGGTTGAGGGCTTGAGGTTTAGGGATTAGGGACTCTATAGGGTTTAGGGCTTGAGATTTAGGGTTTAGGGACTCTATAGGTTTTAGGGCTTGGGGCTGAACCGCAGGCCGAATGACTCAAGGCTTTTGGGTTCAGGGCCTAGCCTCAGACCTAAAGAAGAGCCCCTCATTCCTCCTGCCATAAGGATAAGGATTTTAAGGGTTCTCTATAAGGGTCACTAGAAGGGTGCTCTTCGAGATTTATGGGGTCATAATCTTCCTTCTGGCTCCTTGCTTTGGTTTAGCCAGGCTCATGTATTTAGGATCCTGGAATGTAACTACAAAAAGGAACTGCATGGGCGACTGTAGCTTCTACACGGTACAGTAAAAAGGATCTAAGCCAGAACTAGCATGCCAGAAAGCCGCTTAGTTTAGGGTTTAGGGATTTTAGGGTTTAGGGCTTTTAGGGTTTAGGATTTAGGGAATTTAAGCTTTAGGGTAATCCTTCTCGACCCTTTTCATCCAAACCTCATTTACACACCACATCTGGGCCAGGACCCGTGTGATTTGGCGGTCTTCGGGCCTACCTGTAACCCCAAACACGACAATATAGTAGGTCATGGTTATGACTTCTGACCCATAAAGAGGGTTTAGAGTTCAGCTCATAAGCCCCTAAACCAATAGGGTTTTGGATCCCCAGGTAAGCCTTAAACCCTAAAACAGAAGGAAACCGTAACAAGAAGCCCTAAAAGCGTCAGGTTTTCAAGGGCCCAGGTAGGCCCGCCCTGTAAGCCCGAAACCCTGACAAAACCCCAAACCCTAAACCCTAAACCAGCCAAGAAACCGGGACCATTGTGCTATCTCTCGCGTGCAGTCCTGCCGTCAATTTGAAGCAGCTCAGGGGTTCGGGGGTTTAGGGTTTTGGTGTTTCGGGCTTGGGGTTTGGGGTTCCAGGTTTGGGGTCTTCGAGTTTGGGGTTTAGGCTCGATCCAGACTAGGATTTAGGGCTGAGATGCAGCCTACGAAGAAGACATGAAAACACTTTGCAGTAGACCCAGAAAACCGCAGCCTTGAAGCATCACAAACCCGGTTCTGCGCCCTAAAGGCCCTAAAGCCCCTAAAATGTAGCCCAAGATCACTAGGTCCTGAAGCGCTAATCCCCAGGGCCCTGCTTCCCAAAAAAGCCACAAGACCGAACCCTGCAGAACCTCAGTTGACTTCACAGCGTGCTGCTGTTCCTGAAGCACTGCAAAAAGCCTGCTGTAGCCTTCCCCTAGTAACCTATTGGAAAATGGAAAAAGCCCATGATATACATGACAAAATACACATACACATGCATATACCAATTGACATAATTACGTTGTACATTGACATACATGCAAACATACATACAGACAGACAGAAAGACACACAGACATACAGACATCCATGTATGTATGCATACATACGTACATACATACGTACGTACATACGTACGTACATACATACATACATACATACATACATGTATCATACCGAAAAAATTTCTTACATGGTTGGGGCTTCTTTACAGTTTACATATGTAGAAACTGAGATCTTGGACGTGTAGGGTTCTGAGCAGAACCACGCCATCGGCTCCCATTGCCGTTTCAGATAGGGGCGAGCGGTTTCCCGGCGGCTCCCTGACATCCCTGTGTTCGAATGTTTAGCTGAAAGTCGAACACAGGCTTCAACCACTTCGAAACCCTTTGCCCGAAACATGTCTCCTACCTGAAGCCACCAGAACCTAGTCTTTTGTCATGTCCGTCCTATTTCCAGAGTATGCGTGCAAATTACACAACGAAAAGACAGGTTCTAGAAGGGCTTTGAAGTTCTACCCCGAAACCCATGGACCCGTTTCCCGGAAGCCCAGAGC